ACATGTATGCATTTTAAAAGATTTATATTAAAAAAAAATAAACCCTACATTACTCCAAATTCAAACAAGTGATGTAAATTTAACAGGAAGTGGGTGCAAGTGATGATGGATTGATGAGACAGAGAGATGAAAAGGTGCACGGTAAGAAGAGTGACTGCTGAATTTTTTTTCTTTTTTTTCCTTCCCAAAAGAGGAAACAGCTTGCTCCCATGCACCGAAGCTGGTGAGATCCCGTGCTGCAGTCTAGCATTTGTACATATGACACCCAATAATTTGAGAATAATATCATCATGCCTTGTGCCTTATTTGTAATTATCATCCTTCTTTTTCTTCCTTTGACCTTGTCTCACTCGTCCCTCTTAATGCTTCTTTAATTAATTAATATAATCCCATGGACTCAACCCAACTAAAGCCCTTCCATGTAATTTTCCTCTCCCTCTGCCCTCCAGTCTTTTCCTGCTTACAGCTGTAAAGTCTCGAAAACAATAAAAACAACAAAAGAGGACCATATATTTGCCGTGGGCCCCACTCTCCCGGCCTTTCAATTTCACGCCTGCAAAGACAAAGGTTTTCTTTGAGAGTATATGTAAACAACCTCCCCTACCTTCTTACCACTTCTTAGATGGCACAAGAAAAAAAAAAAGAGAAAGAAAGAAAGGAAGAAAACATGCCCTTTTTTGTGATGCTAAACAAAACACAGCTCTTTAATCTCTATCCAACTTTTCTTTTAGAAGAAACAAGAAAAGCATAAATAGAATCCCCTGCTTTCACCTGTATCCATTTCTAGCCCTTGTAGGTTGTACCCTCTGGTTCTTTTCTTCCTAAACCATCATAAAATGCTCAAATCATTGGACTCAACCTTGTCATTTATGTTTGTTAAAAAAAAAAAAACCTTGTCATTTTTGAATTATCATTTGTGTAATTAGAAAAAGAATAATGGAACAAGCATGACTGGATATGAGCTTACATTACATTCTCTTTTTGATTTTCACAGTCCCTTGTTTTATCTCCCTTCACATTTATATGATTATAAATATGCATATTAATGATTCTACGGAAATTTACCAACAAAACAAGAGAACAGACAATGTAAAATAAAAAAGATAATACGTCACATCAAATAGTAACACAATCTTTCCTCTTATGTGCGATTTCAATTTGCAGAATCAAGTCAATGCTTTAAAGTAGTTTTCAATTTAAACTTTCTTTGGGAGGTTTTGACAGAAAAATTTAAAACTCCACCAACCACAGAATTCTTGTTTCATACCTGCAATGTAGAATTATGTTCTGTATCCACACAGCTCTCATATGTCATCTCATTGGAGCCAATCTCTAGCAAATCTCCCCCTGTTATTAATTAAAGTTAGTGAATCCTTAAAACTTGACCGAACAGCACTGTGTTATATTTATGACCTTTTCAACTTGATGGAAAGTCACTGATATATCACAAGCAAATTTACTCCGAAACAAGGTTCTGAAATCTAAAAGCAGTTGGTGTGGGTCTGAAACTCTCAAGGGACTACATGGTCCCAAAGTAATTATCAATGGGATTGGAGGAAGCTGATGCATCACTATTACTATTCTTCACTCTCGTTGTAAAATGTCCCCAAGAGATCAGAAACGGAGGCCCCAAGAGCCTGTCTGTCTAGTTAGCATTTTCCACATCCAATGCGTGAATCAAATTATTATGGCTACCTTGTTCCTATCTTTTTCTGTTACAATTAATGTTGGATTCTGGAAAATCGGCATCCAATGCATGCATGGACTCGATCACATTCAAACTTGTCACCATCAAACCCAAACGTAGACAAACCAACACCCACAAGATCCATAATTTAGAGTTTCCCTTGCATTTTCTTTTACCTTTGTACCACACTCTATGTTAGGACCAGGTCTAGGGGCATTTAGAACGCTGCACAGATCTTCCTTCACTGGCTTGGCCATCAACTCAAACCATACTCATATGAACAACAAGATTTACCGATATACAAATCTCATTTCATTTAATAAGCTAGGTGGGACTTCTTCCAACTCTAAATTCACTAATATGATATGAATGAATAACCACTAGAATTAATCCTCAAAACCCTTCCACGGAAGCTTTCTTGTGCAATACTTATTTGAGAAGAAATCAGATTGGAAAAGTCCTGAACAAGCACAAGCTTCCTCAGTTAGGACTGTGTTTGAACTCTGAGGTTTTTTTTTTTTTTTTTGCAGGAGGATTTGGATTTTAGATGGGAGAGCAAAAGTTGGCTAATAAATATGGGACTTTATTCGGCAGCAAACATATTGAATGAACTGAGTACGAATTATTTATTGGTGTTTGGTTGATTACTACCTACTAAGAAGTTTGAATAACAGTGATCCAGAGAAGAATGCGAAATCATGTGAGAAGAGTCTTTAAAGTTTACTTCTTGGAATCTCACTGTGGGACCTCAAATAAATCTTCTTGGCGCTATACAATGAGCCTCCCCCATCGTATTCACGCAGTGTCATATTAGGAAAATAAAATGTTTTCATGGGAGAAGCAGACAACAAGCATTCAATACCTAAACTCGATGGCAAGAACAACAATAGGTTTAAGAGGTCCAATCCAAATTCAAATTCCCTCTTGCTAAGCTATACTTCATCCAGTCCTAAGCATGTGATGCCTTTAATTACACGTCAGAATCTATATAATTAATATTAATCTTTAATAAAATAATCTTTACAAGCTTATCCTTATTTAAAAGCAAAAATTTAAAAAAGAAAAAAAATCTAGAAAGTCGTAAACAACAGTGATTTTGGATAAAGCTAATCAATATGCTACACATTTTAATGCAAAATTGAGTAAATGACTAATAATACACGGGATCGTTAATTTTTTTCCCGAAGGTGACTAATTGAAGTATATATCTCTTGACATTTGTTTTGGAGAACATTCACTTTATACCTTATTTTTAAACTGATTTTTTACACGTTAATTATCTGCACAATCAAACAGTACATAGGAGCTGATAAACATTTACCAAAGGTGAATATCTCATCATCTGTAATTTTCATTTGAGTGGATTTTCATTGGCTCATTATATTCAAATCAGCTGATACAGAATATGTAATAATAATAATAAATCCTAATAAATGAGTATTGTGAAAGACAACAATGAAAGAACTGTAACTTTTGGAGGGTGAAAACCTAAAACAAGTGTGACAAAGTTAAGTTGTACCAACTACATATTAGACAAATTATTTCTTCTCCTGTCTGATTAAGAAGACAAGATTCAATGGGAAGCAAGCAAGTATAGGATGCTTTTTGGGTCTCTTTAGTTACTTTACAAAGTCAGTAGAAAAGGACAAGTTAGTGATGCTTTAGGCCTTAGGGCCATCGATGGCATAGCATGTCCCAAATCTGTGAAACTTGGCTGCCCTACTGGAACCATGTCCGGCTTAGCAGACAAAGATTTGGTATCTTTTTACACGGGCAACACTACGCTGACCCAACCTATATATCACCAGCTAAGGCTTATATGGCCTTAAATTTGTTACTTAAAACACACTCTCGCAGAATAATGACCTTAATGTAATGCCAGTCCAAGATATCCAGAATCATGACCCAAAAAAAAGAAAAAAAACACAGATACACAGCCAGAATATGCATGCCAGGGTAGTACACAGGGAAAGTCTAATTCTAAGGGAGTCAATGTTACAGGAAGAGAAGTATGTCGTACAGAAGACTGTTCCTACTCGTACAAAGGAAAGAAAGAATAAATAAAACTAATGGGAATAGAGTAAATTAATGATAGAGCATGTAATCCCATTTGTGTATCTCTGCCCGCAAGGCCTTTATCTACAACGTACGGTAAAAGGATAAGATGCCATTGGTCGAAGTTTCTTTTTACGCGTCCAAAATTCTCATCAAGATTGCAAAATTTTATGCAGGTTGGAATTGTTCGAATCACATTTCTTCACGGAAAGATAGAACCCGTGACTCTTTTTATGGTACATTATGATCTGTTTGTATGTATCGATCGCATGTCAGCAGAAATCCTAACTTGGATAATTGGGCCATATGAGTGAAAAGTAAAACAAGTAAAACTTGATTCTAATATATGCATTTATCCCCCCTTCCCTCCATCTTGGAATCACAAGATTCAAAAATTTGAGCCTTACAGTGATTGCATTAAGATATGTACACTGATCCTTAACCACAGGTTGACCAGCACCAGTCCAGGCTGAAACGATCACTACTTCAAAGCCGGTCATTGTTCATTTTTAATCAGAAAATATATATGAGCCTGTATGACCTTACTTGGTCACTAAAAATTGAAGGAGAATGGAAAAATGCATAGAGACGAAGGCAGATTAAAGGTAAAATGACAGTCACACCTGATAAGGGACCACCTCCCGCCTCCCCTCACTTGGCCTCCTTCACCTTTGGGCCCATCAATGTTTTCAGAAGAATATATTTTTAGTGGGCGATTCTGCTCGTATAGATATTATTTCCCTTCCTGACTTGTATGCTTATGAAAATATTCTTTTGGCAGGCAATCTCCCAATTTTGCTTGCAAATCCTCTGGCTTTTATCTTTACCTGTCTCGAGAAAACGGGAGGGAACGTATACTTTGTTAATTAGTGAAGAAAAATATTAAGAGGGAATATCAAAATCCAAAAAGCTACGATTTTTGGTAACAAGCTTCCGGTATCTAAAAGTGATAGTTCTGACTAATCCAGATTCGAGCCAGTTCAAAGTCCAAATAAGAATAGCTCTCCCAAGTATATCATCTCTATTCCCATCACCTCAAGGTTCAAACTCGGGAGAGGTGATGATAAGACTTAGACCCTTCCCATCTAAGCCTACCTACGCTTTTCAATTTATTCGTCAAGTCCAAAAAACATTTAAGATTTCTATTTGAAGTTACACAGCTTGGATATATTCTTTTCATGTGCTGCTAAACGCAAACGCAGTCTAACTGGGATTTTCAATTCATATCATAATGCATTTAAATAACTCCTTGCAGCACTCATTAAACCTGACCTTCATTAATTAAACAAAAACCCATAACATCTTTCAGAAGGTAACTCTCCTCCCTAATCCCATATCATATCAGTTTCTCCCAGTGAGCTTTATATACTATAACACAAATTCGGACGGAACCTACGGACAGAATATATAATAAGAAGTAACAATGTCTCGTCCAATATTTAACAACGGCCAAAAATTCCTGGTAATACTGTCAGTGCTGTTATTGGCACCATCAAACTGGAAGATGAAGGTGGGAGTGGAAGGGTTCTTAATGTTAACGAAAACGCATGTGAAAATATTCAACTATTTACAGCACCATCAGCGTCTGACCCTTCATTGCAAGTCAGCAGACAACGATCTTGACGTCCACCGTCTTGGTTATGGAGAGCACTATGAGTTCTCATTCCGTGCGAACTTCTTTGACAGGACGCAGTACTATTGCAGCTTCCAATGGCCTGGTGGCACTATTAAATGGTTTGATATCTACATTGGTTGGAGAGATGATAGGCTCTGCGATACGTGCCAGTGGGAAATTTGGGAAGATCGTCCCTGCATGCTCAATACTTCGGATTATTTTGGTTTTTGCTTTGAATATAACCATTAATATTTGATAATTGATCTAATATCCTATCACATGAATAATTTCTTGCTTGTTAGTTAATCAGTGTTGTTGTTGATTGCTCTTATTCATTTGGGTTCCTTCTTTCTCAGTCACAACTATAAGCTGAGATTTTTCCAAAGCCAAGGTAACTTGAACAAGGGTGAAAAAAATAAACGAGTTTATCGCTTGCTCAATCTGGGCCTGATTTAGCCGACTTTTGCTTTGTTTTCGTGTAAAGAAGGGCCAGGCTACGTACCCACATTAGGACTTGGGCTATCTATCTCCGCCAAATTTTGCCTGGCCCTACAAATGCAAAAACACAATTATTGAAAATATATAGTACAGACTAATTTTCTTACAAGGTGATCATTTTGTTGCTTTGAAATAAACTTTCTCAGTTGAATATATTTCCAAAGTTTAAATATACCACCTTTTCGCATAATTCTTGGATTATAGAAGGATCACCAAGACCATGTTTTTATTTAATAAAATTAAACTTAGGCTGCCAGACTCATTCTATATGAAATTTAATAGGATAAAGGTATATTTTTATCTTTGAAGTATTTCCTGAAATCAAGGAACATCCAGTATCTTAACATTTTTGTTGAAACAATTTTACCTCTAAAGTTATTAAAACAAATATTTTTGTCCTTTCCGTCAAAATTTCTAACAGTCAATGTTTGAGATCAATGTTGAAATTTTGATGAAAAGAGTAAAAATATTCTGTTTTAATAACTTTAAAAGCAAGATTGTTCCAACAAAAACTTTAAGATGCTAGATGCTCCTTGGAAAATATTGTAAAGGCAAAAATGCATCTTAACCCAATTTAAAATGAGACATTTACCATTCAAAATTTATAAATAATACAACTTTTAAAAAATTTCATACTAAGGAAAGTGCAATCTAATTAATGAAAATTTTAGTAGGCTCTGATTACGAAGGCAGAAGCAGCAAACAAGACCAGTGAGTAACGATTGTCGCTGAAGAGCACTAGCTATGTACGATGCTTCAACCTATTAAAATTCAAAGTAATGCTAATGCTCTTAAAATCGTCACCTCCAGTCCATCTCGCTCTATATGGACCAAACTGGTGATCAACGTCTATAGCATTTAGATCTAACCTGCTTCCTGCAGCAATTTTAGCTTTCTGTGTTAGCTCTTTTGACAATGCAATCCTTCCCTTTAGAACAAAAAGGAAATCAGAAGTACAAGTGGAAATGAGGCTTTGACCTCCTCAAACTTGCATGTTCCACATTTATTTGATTAGAATGCATCGAATCGGTGATCCTTCAGCACCAACCAACCTAAGAGGTAAGCAATGGATGGAATATATTCCTGCTGGGACATCATCAAGCTTCAGAGCTTCCACGAGAATGATTTCCTGAAGCATTCACAGTTTTAGTGCACAGCTTAAATGTTTATTCTTTTCAAATGAACAGCTATAAGAAAATTAATTTGTTATTCATACAAGGATATCCCAAGAAAATACTTGCAATCTCATCTCAAACTTCCATTCAAGTACCCAGTAATATATATTGACCCAGAAGATATGAGATATATAATCAAAAAGGTAGAAACGATTAACTAGCTGTTACTTACTAGTAAATTATTACTTAACCATAATGATTACTCACCCTCCCTTCAAGAAAAGCTAGATGAGATGGAATCAGGTCATCATAAGCAGCAACAGATAAATAATCAAGACCTGCATTCCGTTACAGAAAATGCAAGTGTAAGCACAAGAAAGTCGGGCAGAAGTGAACAAACCAATGCAAATACGTGCAACGAAACACAACAGAGATGTTCATGCTCCATAACTACACGGAGTACAAAGCCCAAACTGTGCAGGTAAAAACCCAGATATGACATTTTAAATGGAGAGGGAGGTCACAGATTCAGAGTATTCTTCTGAAAGACTAATTTATTTGCCATCTCAGATTCCTACTGAGATCTGAAAATAATGCATTCGTCATAAAGATAAGGCTACATCAAGCCCATAGAGCATTTTGATCACACAGATACTCAAAATTATGCGGAAACATTCCAATTAGTAAGGAAAAGAAATTAAATGTCTATCTAAACTGGCATGACATCTATGAAACAGTGGTATGGTCACAATGGAAACGGAACGTCAAGATGTCCGTATGTGTAAAATCAAATTGATCCAGCCATTAGACAATGGCAAAAGGACAAAGAAGATGCCTTCAGTAAGCAGTAGACGAAATCTAAAAGAGAGAAATTAATATCTTGCCTACAAGTTTGATGTCAGTGTTCTCTGCTAACCATTTTGCTCCATCCACCATGAATCCCACATAACTTGTGTCAAATTCCTTTTGAAACATCAGCCGCCTACAAATATAACAAGTTAAAATATGGCTTCCAATGAGCTGGAAATGACCTAATATTGTCATAATAAGATTCTATTTTGAATCACCAACGCAAAAATAGCAAGATCTGATCATGCATTCATGTGCAAAGTTACAGTATTTATCAAAACCTCAAGTCACGACTAAACATCATGTCTGCCCCACATTCCTCCTTTTTCAATAGCCTATTTATCACAGACACAAACGGACATCAACATTAACTGCCCGTTTGGTTATATTCATTATTCTTTTGGAAGGATGCAATGAAATTTTTATATCATTTTGGAATGGAGAGATGGTAATGGAGTGATATGAAGATTAATAGAGGAGGAGATATGAATGAGTATTACCATCATTTTCATAATGATGTGTAACAATCATTACCACAAGTCCACCTAAAAAGCTTACCACTCTCCTAATAGTAATGCAATACTAATTACCATTGCACATGTCCAATGGCATTGAACCAAACAGGTCCTTAGTAATTGTGAAAAATAGCAAACAAGTACTTGAGCCCAAGTAATGGAAAATAGAATATAATAGCTAGCGGACTGAATTGTACAAATTCAATCTGTTCCTCACAAGGATATTTAATGCTGCTTATCTAAAACATATTCAAGACTTAGGCTCGGTAGCTTCAAAATACTTCAATTCCTCTGAAAATGGCTTCTCCCTTCCTCATTTCTCTACTTTTCTACTTCTCAGTAGGTAAACTGTGCAGCACAAGTTTAAACAGTGACAATTCAGGTTTAATTATTTATTTTCTTAAGTCCTGACATCTCAATCATATTTTTTTGGGAGGGGAATTAAACTTGAATTTTTGATATGAACAACTTACAAGCTAAGGGCCAGAGAAGAGAATAGAGAAAGCATATTACAATTCCTCTTCAAATTTGATTAGAGGCAATGTCTGAACTTGTGAAAATAGATGAAAAATTATCAAGGTCGAACATAATAATCACACAAAAAATTCTGTTAGTGCTATGGAACTATCGCAAATAAGAACTTTTAAATAAACCAAAAAGGAATTGACTGAATCTTTGCATCATGCCAGACTGATTAAAGAATACGCTCCTTAAATCAGCACCAATACACACAATTTGTACAAATTACCTGTCAGTATTCAATGTTCTGAAGAGCACGCGACCTACACCCCTTGGAATATGTAACGACTTCATAACTTCAGCTGAAACGAAGTTCAAACTTCAATTTAATTACAGCTCTTAAGATTGCTTACTGGAAAACTTTCGCCCTGCTCCATAGTTGAGAGGGCTATTAAATTACATAAAATTCTTTAACAGAAAAGCTGCATTTATCAAAATAATTTATAGGCATATAGGGACAAAGATTGAACTCCATGAATGTCATAGACAAAGTAGTTTCCGCCGAGCCCAAAATGGCAAAATCGTCCTAAATTGCCACGTTATTTAGCCCAAAAGAGTAACGAAAAACAATAAAAATAAAATGTCTTGACCAGGCAAATCTTGAGTTATACATACCAGTTATGTTTGTATCTCTTGGAACATCAACCAATAGTGCAGGACCTACATACAGAAAGTCAGAAACAAGCTTATCAATTACCATTTTACTGATTTAACATGAACAATCATGCCACTCAAAAGATGGAAAAAAATAATGAAAGCAACAAAAGCCTATCAAATGGCAGATAAAGCATCTGACGTGATATGATAAGGATGAAATATTCTTGTCCGCAGAGTAAGACAGCGGGAAGAGTACCTGGCCTCCACAAAGCCAGAATGGAATTTGATGAAAAAGAAACATACGGATAGAAAACAAATAAAGCAAAATAGTGGAAAAACAACCACTTCATTTATACATTGAGGCAATTAAGAGCGTGACGAAACATGCACCCCTTTTAACTTGCGGCCTGTACGCCCCTCATTTGGTATAATCAAGTTCTTAAAGCAAGTACCAGGGCTTTTTAACATGGAAGTGAAAGATAGTTTAGATTTTTAGTTTAAACCTAGGTTGAGTCAAGTTTCATCTTCTCTTTCATAATCTGAGAATGCCTGTTCAGAACAGACAGAATATCGACAAGGCACTAGCCACAAAAACATCCCCTCACAAATGCACAATAGAACCGTAGGCTCGGGCACGCCCCAGATAAAAGATTATGCCGCAATTCGCCAACCAAAATTTTAAACAAATTTATAAAACCTCAGACAAACTCAAACAGCAAAAGTCAAAGGCTATAATAAAAACAAAACACATAGTATGAACATGACCAACAAATATCAGAGACTAAAAACTAAGAGAAGTTCGATTCAAGAAGACAAGGGGATCAAAATCAAATCAGCCAGCAAGTAACAATCAAACACAAACATCACAATTCTCACTCACCATTGAGGACTTCCAAATCGAGTGTATCGACGTCAAACCCGGCATCGAAGTAGTGGTCGAAGACGTGCCCCGGAGCGTCAACATGGGTGCCTGTGTGAGTTGGGATCTTCATTTCCGAGTTATTAGCAAGAGAACCGTTTTTCATGCTCTTTTGAAGCCAGAGGAAGTGGCCAAGGCCATCCTTAGACTCAAAAACTGGCATGTCGGGGACGTACTTGTGACTGATATCGAAGATTCGGCCATTGCCATGGACTTCTCGACGAGGAGGGATAAGAACATCGTCGGAGCCGGCAAGTGAACATTCGGCAGAACCAGCTCCCGGGGTGGTGGGGTAGGCTTCGGTGGTGGCAACGGCGGGGTGGAGTGAGATTGCGAGGCTAAACGTGATGATAAAAAATAGCAGGGATGATCGTAGCTGGGAATCCATAGCGAGTGAAGCTGTTAGAAGAACAAAACGAAGAAGGATTGTAAATAAGAGGGGGGACTCATGTATTTGCAGAAACTAGAATATTCTTTTGAGATAAGGGTCCGGATCTTCCGCGTTACGACTTGCTGGCCTACGGGGTCATCTTTGAGCAGCCGTAAATAAATAGAGCCGTGAAAACGGTCGAACCTGTCAGTATTTTTAAGCTCGTATAATAATAAAGTCAAGCCTGTATGATTCTAAAATGATAAATTAAGATTAAATGAGTTAGCTTGTTTAATTTAAAACTTAAACAGGCTAGGCCTTGATCTTGTAAGGCCAATTCGTTTAAGCTCGTACGTACATATTTTTTTAATTAATTTTTATAACTTTTATTCTTTTTTAAATTTGAAAAAAAATTAAATTAAATCTTACTCCACATCATATATCAGCCCATATCTACTTAGAATGGCAGGCTAGAAAAAAGGAAAAATAGCAATGAATAATCACTTATCAAAAATTACATCAATCAAGAATCACTTGTTATCAAAATCTGAGTGAATACTTATATATTTAGATTAGTCTTTATCAATAAGTATTCATTTAGGTTTTAATAACAACTCATTTTAAATTAATAATAGTTCATTGTAACTTATTTTTCATTCAGGTTTTGACAACAACTAATCCTTAATTAATATAAATTTCATACATAAATTTTTGGTTACTATTTTTTTAAAAAAAATACAACCTTAAATTCCCTAATTCATGTAGATTCATAATAATGATTCATTCAGTTCAATATTTACTCTTCTTTCTTTAATATGCTTCTCTCCTTTTTGTCGCTACAAATTGTCCTTCCTTTTTAGCAAGTCATTGCATCTCCATCTCCGTCCCTGTCATTGTAACTTACAAGTCATCCTTACTCTTATTTTTGCTTGCTTTTCAATTGTCCCTATTGCTCACTCTGATAGTGCTCCCTCCCAAGAACCAAATCTCAACAATGCTTGACTAGCTAATGCTTGTTGTCATCAATCTTCCAAGTCCTCTTATCATATATCATGCTCGTGTATTCGTGACTCATGAGCTAAGCTCTATCTGATGCACATATTGTGCCTATGCTCTTTGTTTTTCTCGGTCTCCCAGTCTCATATCTCAATCCTTCAAGGCTTAATCTCATGTAATTTCAGTTGGTTGTTTGTTGGCTTAGCCAATTCACGACTTATTGCCTTGCTATCATTTCATTTGTGTTTTTGGTTCATTTAGATATTATTTAATTAGTTTTTTCATACATTTCTTGATTGGGTATTATATTGGAATGAAGTAATTTTTTGTTTGATTAAAAAATTTAAAAAAAATAGTTAAAAAGGCCTAGAGCCCATAGGTATCATGTGAAATGATATGAGATGTAATAGGAAGGGTTAAGCTATTAGTACAAGGTTGTGTGTTTTGAATGGATAATTGTATAGAATTTGACCATATATGTTAATTTATGTGATTATAAGAAAAAGGGGCCTTAAATGCGTTGTAAGGGCATTTTCATGGCCAGATTTGAGTATGCTTGGGATTTTATTGTTATGTCTATTTATCAGGTAGAAAATGTCCTGTTAGATGTGGTCAAAGCCTTAAAAGCGACTAATGACACAAGGTTATGGATTTGGGATGCTCATATGTGAAAAGGCAACATAAAATGGTCATTTTTACATTTCGATGTCCAATTTTTAAATAAAATATCGAATTGAAGTGAAACTTATGTTATTAGTTAGATTATAAAATAAGTTATGTGTGGGTGTTTGAATCACTTCAATTAGATATCATATGAAAAAAATGGTGCACGTCAAAAGTTCACATAAGATGAACTATCATGACAGTAAAATACTTATGGTAAACATGCCGCGGCATATGACATAAAATGTGGACTTGTGGTTCTGTATCGTATGTCACGGCTTATGGTCCTTTTTGCACAAAAATGACTATTTTGTCTTTATTTTCCACTGCAAGGTATTGATGCATTCTTAAACACTTTTGTTGTGCATAAATATATGTGTTTGAATGTTTTAATATGTTTTCAAAATATTGTTGAGATTCCAACTATTTTAAAGAAATGATTTTCATATTTTAAATATTCATGATTTATGATAGTTTAAGAGTTTAACTTACTCTAATTATCTTTGTGTGATAAGTGTGATTACATTTTGGTAATGTTTAGAGGATATAACAGATTCAACTTCCTTCACTAGTTCAACGAAGCACCCCTTGATAATAAATTATTATTATTTTAAATAGATATCCATGAAAATATCATCAATCTAAATATAACTAAATAATAACTACTTGCAACAAAAAATATCTACTTTTTCTAAAATTTCAATAAGTAAAGAGAGGCAATTATGAATATCATATTTTTTCCAAGCTTCTAAATGTAAATTAAAAATAAATAAAGAGCCCAATAAAATTAAGTAAATAAAATAAATAAGAAAAATTGAGTTTTATAAAAAACAATAAAATAATAAAATAATATCTTCATAATTTGAAAATAATTTTTATTTTTTTATTGACTCCTAAATTCCCTCAATTTTGTTTCTATTAAATTAAATATCTTTAATAAAATTTGAAAATCTAAAATAATGAAAAAAAGTCAAAATAGAATTTTCCTTGATATAATTATTCTGTCATTAAGAGGCAAAAAAACTTAATTAGAACGCCCTAGCAATGTACTCTTGCCTTGGTGTCTCACTCCATACATTTGATCATCACATTCTTTACTTGTGCGCTCCTTTAATCCTTCCATTAAAATCATTTATTCTTGGCTTTCTCTTTACCAATGCGCTCCTTTACCTATAATCAAATCCTATACTCTTGGTTTGATGGGATTATCACCAATTCAACGTTTTTTCACCCTCTGTGTCATGATTCCCTTTTCTTGCCTTTAGTTTATATGATTGATCATGGTGTGGTTGTTTGATCTTGAAAAGGCATATGGTAAAAAAGTTTTCAAGGCGATTATTTAGTGGCAATATATTATGTCACAGAATGAGTTTGTTGGTAACTTATTTGCATCAATCCTTATTTTAGACCAATAAATTATTCACTTTTATTTTCTTAAAAAAAAAGAAAAGAAAGGAGTCTGAATAATAATGTAGTTTTAAATATTTAAAAATAAAAAAGAGAGAGATTCATGAGTGATATTAAATCACAATGGATGTTTGATATATTGTGAGTGATATTAAATCACCACAATTGTTAAATGTCAAGAAAATCCTCTTTGTATATTATTTTAAAAAGAGTAAGATTTATTGACATACTTTGAAGCTATCCCATGTGTGATATTAAATTAACATGAATATCTAAAAATATAAAATGAGACATAGTGAATGATATTAAGTCATCGTAGGTATCAAATTTTGTATGAAAATTTCATAATTAAATTATTTTATAGAAAATTCACTTTGAAAATTTCTTTAAGGTTTGCCATAAGTGATATTAAATTACCGTGTACTTAGAGTGTCAACCAGCCAATTTTGAGTAATACTAAATCACCACAAGTTCTAATACTAGCTATTTTTCTTTTATCCAAAGATACTTCCTTATGACAAATTTTTATTTAAAAATATAAAAAAATACAACCCAAAATGACATTCTCTTCATAAAATAAATTAATTAAAAAATTAATTAATAACATCCTCAAACTACGTGGACTCTGATCTTTATCACAGGATACATAGGCCCTAGGCTTTGATCTTAAGCCAAGTCCTTTTATGTAAATAAATAATTTATTTTCATTTTTATTTTTGCATGTGATTAGAAAAGGTAATCAAGATATGATTAAAAGGCCAATTTAATTTGATGCAATCAACATAGAGTAACCATTCTCATGAACAGATGTTATGAAATGCCTAACACCTTTTCTATACACAATCGACTCCCAAATCCTTTTCGCAAACTATCCTTTTTTATTATATAGTATTCTAAGATTTCTTAAAAAACTTTGGTCCTATTTTTCCTATATTTATCGACCTTCCCCTATCCAAGAAAGGCACGATTTGGGTGCGACAGAACATCAACAAGCCAACTCTAGCTGAGCATCCCATAAACCTCCATAATGATACTTCGATGTTCATGAAGCCGCCTATTATCAGATCCATGACAATTATAGAATCACAATGGAGAATAATGGATTGCCATTTACTGTACCAAGCACTTTTTAAACTAGTTGAGCAAGCCCACAATTCAATAATGAGAGCATCGCCACTTTATAGTTAAAGCATAAAGGCGTTCAAGATAACTTGATTATGATCCTTAAGAACTCCCCTACAACCCTCAACATCAGTTTGTTCTAAATAAGCTCTATTAATGTACAATCCTAGGTTGTCACAACTAGACACAATAGAAGAATTCGCGCCCAAGTTCCTTATTAAACTAATAAACTAATATTACGAAGATCTTTTTGGCATTGACTCATTTACTTCAAAATTACCAATGCATGACTAAATATTGAATTATTAGATTCCATAACATTTTGAAACACATGTGCATTCCTTCTCTTCCATAGAGGCCAACAGATACTAGCAAACTAGTAATTCCATTTAACCTCAGACCCAACTTCAGTTTTAAGATTAAGCTGACACTAGTGCCATAGTTGGAAATTAAAAAATTGATTAACAAATTTAGGTTTAACATACGTTCTCCACAAGCATTGAACCTCCAAGCAATCATGTAAAACATCTAAAATATCTTCATCAACAGATTTATACCACGAACAAAGGGCATCATTACTCATATGCTTTTTAACTCTCATATGGTTAGTCAAAAGTTGGTCATGCAAAACCATCCATATAAAGGATTTACTCCGTTATGGAATTCAAAGCTTCGGTCATGCAAAACCATCCACATAAAGGATTTACTCCGTTATGGAATTCAAAGCTTCTAAATTTTAGCCCGGAGAGGAGAGGAGGAAAGCTCTCCATCCTTTAATAAAGAATAAGCAAATTTAATAGAAAAGTGACCATGCTTCTCATGCCTCCACCTCACAAATTCTTTCCCATCCTGCATTATACATCTTTCAATTCCAGTCTAGAGAAGATCCCAAATTATTTTAATTCTACTCTATAAACATGAGCTTGGTCATTTATACTCAATTATAGGAAGTAAATTAGCTCCGC